TAGAGGTTGAAAGAAAAAGTAAAGCACTCAGAAAAGTAAGACACCTGAAAGCATGGGTGTGGTGGACTTCTGGGAGACTTGCCTGCATCTTTTTTTTTTCCTTTAATAGATCTTGACTCGTTCTAAAGTCATATAAATTCTTAAATTCTGCATCATCCCACAAATGCTTTGGCAGTTTTCTTTAATTTGTTTAATTCTATTTTATGTGCATTGGTGTGAGATTCCCTGGAACTGGAGTTACAGACAGTTTTAGCTACCATGTGGGTGCTGGTAATTGAGTCCAGGTCTTCTAGAAGGGCAGCCAGAGCTCTCAACCACTGAGCCATCTCTCCAGTCCCAGCTTTGGCAGGGTTTTTTTTTTTTTTTAATCTTGTGTCATACCAGCTTTTAAATTATGAGTAACCAGAGTAAGCATACAGATACATCTGTATTTTTCAGTCAACATGTATGTATTTATATGTTGCACACTTGCCATGTAGCAGGTATCATGGTAGATGCTATAGTGTACAGTGCTAAATAAAACTGATCAATCTACCTCCAAGGACCCCTTATTCCCTAGGATAAGTGTTTTGAGTAGAATGGTCTTGGCACTATGTATGTTAGCTTGAGATGTTGATAAACTCTGGCAGACTGTTCTGCAAGGGGCCTTCCTAGTGTCATTCATGCATTTGTTTCCCACACCAATGAAAAAACGTATTGCAGCCCAGACATTGTGGCTTAAATCTGTAATCCTAGCACTTGGGAGGTTGCCACATAGTGAGCTCCAGGCCAGCCTGGGCTGCAAAGTGAGATGCTGCCTTAAGGCAACAACAAAACCACCCAAAGCAAACAAAAATGCTTATTACATAATTGAGATTGGCTAAGAACAGCTGGTCAGAGAGTGGACTGAGCCAGGAAAGACGAGCCCCGTGGTTATGGCTTGTTCTAGATGGGAGTCCCTGGCATGCTGGGAATCACCTGCCAGCAAAGAACACTTAGGCATTTGCTTGTTTTGTTTTGAAGGTGTGTGTGTGTGTGTGTGTGTGTGTGTGTGTGTGTGTGTGTGTGTGTGTGTGTGGGTGTGGCCACTTGGTGTGGGTCTTGGTCCTCTGGAAGAAAAACAAGTGCTTGCCATAGCTGAGCCATCTCTCCTGCTGCATCCTGCTTTTTGCTTGTTTGAGATGCTGGGGGTAGTCCAGAGCCTCACACATACTAGGCAAGTACAGTATCACTAAACTACCTCCAACTTCTCTTCTCCAACAGCTGTCCCAGATGTGGAGAAGAAAGGAGTGAGATCTGAGAGCAACCAGCATCAAACAACAGAAAAATGGAGTCAGTGCCTTCCCACACAAGAAGCTAGACAATATCTGTACAGTGTGGGGGCTGGGGGCTGTTCATAACCTTGCCTGTTCATAATGCTTACCTGATTACGTGTCATGGATTTTTTTCCTTGTTGGGCCCCACTATGTAGCTGTTGCTGGCCCTGAAGCTTGCTATGTTGGCCAGGCTGGCCTTGAATTTACTGAGATCCCCTGCTTCTGCTGGGATTACAGTTATACACAGGCTCTTTTTTTTTTTTTTTTTTTTTTTTTTTGGAGACAGGGTCTCATGTAGCCCAGGCTGGACCCCTACTCATACGTTGCTACCAGTGACATTGAACTTCTGATTGTCCCTGTCTCCCATGTGTTTCAATTCAGGGAATCTCAATTCAGTGGCAGGCTCTCATCTAGCATGTGTGAACTGGGAGCTTCAATCTCTAAAGCTATAAAAATAAAATACCTTTGGGTGGTTTACTTTTGGGATAGTGTCTTCCAATGTAGCCCCAGGCCGACCTGGAACTTTTTACAATCTCCCTGCATCAGCCTCCCAGAGGCCTGAATGTGAACTACCATGTCTGAGTAAAAGGACTTTTAATCCTTTCTTCTTTCCTCCTCCTCTGCAGTTTTTTTAATTAATTAATTTAGAGACCGGGCCTCATTCTGTAACCCAGGATGACCTGGAACTCACTATGTAGTCTGAGTGCTGTGAGTACAGGAGTGGCGTTTTGTTTGTCTTGTGTGTCCTGCCCCCGGGGCTCCCACCCACCCACCCATT